GAGCTCTTATTAAAAAAATAAAATAAAAAAAATCTGTGGTCTTTAATGTTCATTAGGGTTGGCTGTTTAATTTAGCAGAAGCTTGACTGATTTCAGGACAAACTACGTTTTAATCTTAGGTTTACTTTCTTCTGTTCAGACTTGGGCAGTGATTGATAATGTTGCTGTAGCTGTTGTTTCTGTGCAGGACACTGTGAGTAAGAAGGCTTTGTTCTGGCCTTTAACATTAAGGATTTGGGTGCTTTAGATAAAAATAACTCACACAGAAACAAACAGCACTTCCCGTTCGACGCAGAATTTTTAAAACTGTCACACCCAGGAGATAAGATAGATACCCATCTTGGGGCCCAATGCCTGCCTTTTTTTTTTTTTTCTGTTGTATCTTACACTTTCCTGCGATACAGCAAAACACCCTGTAAGCAACCAAGGCACACGCTTCCATAAACCTACCCCGGTGCCCTAAAGACTTTTTCAGAAAGTATTTCAGCATTATCCTGTAACGGTGACACATTGATTCCCACATTCTGGAAGAAAGCACTTTTAAGTAACGCCAGTAAGATGTAAAAGCAAGGTCAAACCACCATTTCCCAGGGAAGGCAGTTACAAATTCCATGAAAGAGGGTGTGTTCACATATATGTATATATGTGTGTGTGTATAAAAGTAAAAAACTGCTTATATACACCTGACAGGAATGCACTTGGCTTCCCTACTGAAGAAAATGCTGTGAATCAGGAGCTCAGTTCCCACCTGCCTTGAAGACTTTGGATCTAAACTGAAGAGTCTCCCTCCAGAGAGGGAGGAATCCGATGAATCACGGTGCCGTGGGGGCCAGCCGGGAGAAACGTCACTCGCCAGTCAGGGCTCCAAAGAGAAATGCACATTCTCCCACACATTAAACCTCTTCCTAAGACATCCAGCAAAGCAAAGAGATCAAACCGCTCTCTGCATGCCCATCAGGGACAAGAATTCTATCAAAGCGAACAGAAATGTACAAAACGGCCGAGAGGATTTCCAGATCAGACCTGTGACAAACTGAAACCACCGTATTCCTGCTCACACCCAGGTGTCAGTGAAAATAGGAATATCACGTCCAAATTGCAGATTAGAGTAACAAACAGCATCTGGGTGTGGGTTTTTTCTATTTATTTGGAGAGGTGCAGGTAAGGTGCATTTAACATCCACTGACTAATTTTGGCCTTGTGGGTAGGCAAGTCTTTTGAGACTTTCTATACAATAAAGTACTCTGACTAAAATCTGGAAAATTACCTCTTAAGGCTCTAGCTGTAAGGCATCGATAGAAATGTGGTGCCAGCTAATGGCTGCAATAACTGTCTTCATCCCTAGAGAGTAATGGATGGAGAATATATCAATACGAGGAGTGGAAGGGCCAGAGGAACTGAGCAGGCACTCGTTACCAGACACAAAGATGATGCCACATGCATGATGTTATCTGTGATAATCTTTACTTAGGGCCCAGGGGGTGGGAAGGATATTCTTTACAGAGAAGAAAGTACCCATCAGACCATACTCATAATCATCAATGTTCCACTAAGTAAGCATTTTTGGAGAAGGGTTGAGGGAGCACTGATGTAATAGAAATCAATGAAATTCAGCTTTTCTGCATCTATTGTTTAGAGCAAAGTAGGAGGAGGGAAAAAAACCCCAAACATCGCATTCCTTTCTGATCGTTCAGTCATATGCAGTCTTCAGAAAAAGGCTCTGAAGGAAATTTTAACTGAACCGCGATTAAGTCCTTCATTATTTAAAAACCTATTTAAAACCTCACACCTTAACATTCACAACTACCAGAGGGAAAACGTTCTTATTATAAGCATCAACTGAATTTTCTTTTTTAGTTTGGCCATGCGAGCACTCAAACCAGTGCAGGATGTGAAATTCCTGCTCGGCTCCATCTTCCCCTCGACACAAACCTCTTCTTAATCAAATGAAACCAGCTCCAAGCACAAGCATGACAGAGGACAGAGGGTCCCGTGACAGGTACTGCCAGGAGCTCTTTGCAGACTGATGCTGTGCCTTTCCTCAGAGACATTTAAAACCAAGAATATCACACAGGGTAGATTATAAGATGTGCTGGTAAACTTTCCACAATGTCCAAAGTACGTTTGCCCTTCAAGTTTAAGCACCTGTCTTAAATTCACACACCAAGACTGGGGCACCTGAGGTTTTGTTACACAAGGCACAAACAAAACGTGCTGGCTCTCTGCCGTTCAAGTCAAATCAGCACATTTCCAGCTATTCACATGCGGGGCGGGGGGAAACAAAAATCAGTATTATGTCAAATTTGCTTAAGAAAAATGAGGAAATGCAGGAGTTAAACATTCCAACAGCAGCACGAACTTGACCATGTTCTACATCCTGAATATTTTATGGTATATTTATTACAACAATACATTCAACCACAAAAACAAAAACAGAAAGACAAATACTACTCATGTGCAATACAGCTGCATTAGCATTTCTGAGGAAGGCCGACCTTTAGAACCCTTGACACTGTTTTTAATTGTATATTCTGAAATTAATTTTTATGTTTAAATAGTCAACAAAGTGGATGAGAACTTCTGCTTAATTATGTTTACTTCTTCACTGTCTCAGTAAAGTTCTAAGGCTTTCATGCCACTTAGCTAATATAGATGGAAGACGTGATCTCTGTATCATCGCCTCCCCCCCAAAAATATTTGCTTTTTCTATATGGTGGTTTACACAGTAACAGAAGTGTGATTCTCATTTCATATTTTGGACGTTTTATGCCACTGCTTCTGACCAAAAGCAGTCAGATAACATAGATGAGAATCTTCTTCATGATGAAAAGTTCCCCAGGCAGGCAGTGCCATTTCTCTTGCCAGTGCCCAGTTGATCGAGCTGGGGCACCCACTGACTGTCTTGCCAAGCAGGGATGACCCCAGCATGGAAACAAAGGGGCCTGCAACACCTTCTGCTGAGCTTCCTATTCAGAGATTTCTACTTTTCCAATTTAAAATGACACTTCCCTTTCTGGGGAGAAAACAAAAAAAAAAAGCAGCCTCCCCTCCAAAAAAAAGGCAGCCAAAGAGCCCCGTTGCTGGTCAGTTGGCCGACTACCAAAAAAATCAATGCAGCTAACTAGGTAGCTCATTTACACTGAATTTCAAACACATCAGAGCAACTTAAGCCTTTAAAGATATACTCTTAGGTTGAAGAGATTTCAGCACATACGAAATCTGAAAGCTTAGACAAAAGCTTTACTGCAGCCTTCAACATGCCAGAGCCTAACACCCGCCTGATAACATCAGCTATTAAGTGAAACAACTAAGCTTCAAAATCCTCAGGACAACTGTTCACCAGCACAGGTCTCCGTCTTCAGCCAAGCTTTGGAACTTCAGAACTAGAACAAAGTATGAGAACATCTTGAGTTTCTCACAGTAAAAAAGATAAAACAAAACACAGCACAGCTGAAGGAGTACACTGTGAATAGTGATATTTCAGGAGCTTGGATTTTGAAATAATTTGGCAAATGTCTCCAAAAGCTTTATTTCATTCTCTTTAAACACCACCACTGTTCCACAAAAAGCATGGTCAGGAATAGGATGGCCCCGCTCCTCAAAACCTGCTTCAGTGGAGTTATTTGTAGAATCAAATGGCAATATATTTTTTTAAAAAAACAACAAACATGAGCTGATATTACAAAAGCACAAGAATTGCCAGAACATATACTTAACTGAGAGGGTTTTTTTTCACTTTTGTCCTAAAATAAAGCAAGGCTTGCACCCTAATTCTCTTTGGTGGAATAAAAAGGAGTGAGGAATAGGACACAGCCAAGTCCTTACAGATTCCCAGGGTCTGACATCCATGCACAGGAAGAACCTGACACCTATTGGCAACTCCAGTACTACTGCAGAAAGCTGCTCTTCTTCAAACTCTTCCAAGAAACGGCTTCTCCTAATCAGATTTTTATTTAAATACACAGATAATACAAAAGAGTAATTTTTGCACTTGTGCAAAAATTGTGCACACTTTTGCAATTGTGACTGAAAACACACGCAGAAATTTTCAGATTCTCCTTTTGAACAACAAAACTCTGACTCTTCCAAAGTAAACTGGGATCCCTCAGTAATCTACAGTTTTTAAGAGGCTATTCCAATTGATGAACAGTAGCACTAGCCACTAATGCTGGGAAAAAACAATTTATTTATTTTTTTAGGGTGAATGCTGCCTTGGTGTTTAACATGACAGGAGCAGGTAAAAGACACCCTAATCCCAACCACAGCCCAGGGCAGCAGAGCACAAGCTGCGGAGCACACACGCTTTTTCTCCACTAAAATATCAATTAATTGAGTTACAGATGTCAAAGGGGCAGACGGACACTTCCAGCAGAGGAACAGCTTTTGGAGAGCACCCTACCCACGGCGATCTGCCACCTCTTGTCGAGAGGCAAGTCATGGGGTACAGAGGGGTAAAGGTGGGTCTGAGAGAACAGCTTCTTCGGCCTCAGCATAGATGTGAAAGCAGCTGCAGGCAAATACCTGCCTACAGTTTTCCTACTAGAACAATTCACTGACCTGCCTGAGCTCTGGGCCTGCTAAAGGAGGGGAATATTTAAAAAAATAAAGAAAAAAAATGAGGGCCTAAGGAAAAATAAAAAAGAAAAGTGGGCAGATCACTGCTGATGTGTTTTCAAACCACCACGAACACCTGAAAATTTTGCACATATTTGTTCAATCAGAAGAATTTTTCATCTGCCTATGGACGTCAGTGTAAGTGCTCTTTGCAACAGTGAGAAATTAGTTACAGCAATAATAAATGTGCAAAACAGCCAAAGATTCGCAGAGTAACATTTTGGTGCATTTCTTGAAGCAATGGATTTCCTGAAACTCCAAATGAAGCGTCACGGAGACCTGCTCTGAGGGTTTAGAAATTTTAAACAAACAAACAAACAAACAAGGTCTGTTTTATCTCACTCCACCACTAGAGCAAACAAATCAAACGCAATTATTATACGTACTGGTAACGAAGAATTTTTTGGTGAAAGTACAGCTGTCAAAGGCGGCGATTTTCTCCTGCAGGACTACAACAAGTATCCTGAAAACACAGAAACGGAACATGTACTTTAAACATTAAATGCATTGGTTTAAAGATTCAATATCTAAATGTAATTATTTCCAAAGCATCAATATAAATTCTACAGTGATAAATTGCCAGATTACCAACTCATGGCAGTTATTGAGGAGTCTCTCTCGTCCTGACCACATAACCTTCACTTCAGGAAGTACACAGATCTGATACGGACCAACACAGCGTATTTATGATATACCTCCCGCAGTAAAAGCTCCATTAAAAAGAAAGAATGGAATTGCAAGGATCCTGAATTACTTTCAGTGACTCAAATAACAATCAAATCAACAGTCGGTAGAACACAAGCTAAATTTGAAATGATCCTATTGCCCATCTCACTGCAAATTTATTAAACAATCTCACTTGCTAAAAGCAGGTTGGTGGGGTTTTTTCGTGTCAAGAACGTCAGACAGAAGCAGAATTTGTGTCAATTAGCAAAGTTACAGGTGTTTACAGCTCTATGGTTATGAATTTACTTGTACACATACACGCTTTTATTGTAAAATATCTGTTCATTATTCGCAACAAAGAACACGTGATGACCATCCATGAACCCCTGCGCCGCCCGAACAAAGAGCGGCCAAAACCACAAACATGGAAACACCTTGAAGTTCCTAACTAGGCTACATCTCCTACATTGGTGACTTCCCAAATCCAACTCCCAAACCAAGAAAACCACCTGGGAAGCTGTCAAATAAACAGATCAAACCTTCCAGCTGCCTGGAACATTTAGCAATCTCACCTAATTAAGAATCTGATTGTTCTCTCATTAGCAAGACTATAAGACAATATTCTTTTAATTAGCTGACAATATGGAGCGTTATTAAATGCTGTTCTAATAGTTTCAAATGTAAAATTACGACACGGCAAAAAGCCAATTGCATCTCTCAACGACTAAAACACACACCTAATGCTTTATCTGAAAAGTATGACTGCATATTACAGTATAGAATAATAATCTTTAAAAAGATGACAAATCACATCAGTCTCAACATACATCCTTGGGGAAAGGGTGATGCTTGTCTCCCATCAGTGGGAAAACCAGCCATTAATTTTATTATTGTGAAAAACACACTTTCCCACACAGTTCTGGTTTAAAAATCTCAATTTTTAAGAGTTTTAAATGCTGCATATATAAATTAGTATTAGTTTTCGACAAAGCAGTAGTTTCAGTTAAATGACATACGGTTAAATTGTTTAAACCGCAGGAGAGAAAAGGTATCAATTCTTCCCCAAGGCCTGAAAGAAAGTTTACCAGTGAATAATGAAAGACTTCGAATGTACGTGCAAGTGTAATGCACACAGAGGAAACTTATGTATATTTGATTGCAGTTTTTCCCAATCCTGTAGATTTTAGTTTTCTACTCTTTGAAGATGCACTGTCTTTCTGCATAAACGAAACCTACCAGACAGATGATTCCAGAGTATAAATACATAAATAATAAACAGGTTTCCTTTCTTCTGCAAGAAGAAGTTTTATCTGAAGTTCAAATTTTGGACTCCATTAGTCCGTCCTATGCTTAACGCACCATTAGGGCTGCACTTGGCCACGTTTAATGCATTTTCAACCTGAAATAGTGAGCTTTCCTAGGATAATAACAGAAATCTGATACATTCCAGAAAAGCAGCTACCCTGGATACAGCCACACAGCTTTGAAGTAGCTTTTTTACTTTTACCACTTCGGAAAAGAAACATTAGCACCTGGAAAGACTTTTTAGTCGGGAGAAACTTTGAACGATGATTTGCCTTCCGACTGTTTTTACAATCGGATTTTTCTTCTGCTCGGAGGCCAGGCTGGAAAGATTTACAATCATCACACTGTACACGAGGGAACTTTAAATTTTTCAAGGGACAGTTGCACAGATAAGTACTGAACTCCTGGTAGCTTTTAAAGGAACAGCGACCTATTCATGGCACGTCCCTCTCATCGACTCAACCACTTCGGTGCAACTGGGTTTTGATATAACTATCATTCCCGCATCCTGCAAGAAGCAGATTGACAGGGCTAACAAAAACTGCCATCCTTTGCTTCTCTAAAACATCCGCACCACCAAAATATTCTCCCCGTTATTAGATTAGCTGTGGTGGTAAAGGTAGCAGTAGCACTGCTTTTCGGTAACTTCTACCTGACCTAAGGTAGTCCTCAATGTTTAGATTTAGATGGTACAATGACAGATAAATTTTGTATAATAAAACCTCTGTGGCTTCTAGGATTTGGTTTTTCATGGGGGTTTTTTGTATTTTTTTCTCCCCATCCAAACGCCACTCTGTGTCACTCAACCTTCTAAGCCATTTTCTCTCAGAAATTAGGTGCCATTACCCCAGCTAAGAGATGTGGCTTTATTATTTGACTCACAGGAATGTTATTTTCTGTAAACCACCGACTGCACACCAGGAATTTTCTGCATGTGCAGGAAGACAGTACACGACACAACAGAACACAAAGAAGGGAGACATAAACTCTTTAGTGCTCTACGGTGTTTAAACTCCCAATAATCCCATTTCTCCATCTGTAGGTGGATGACAGAGGATTCCAACGATTCCTGCTCACCCTCATCACAACTGAAAGAAGCTTAAACGATTTCAGCTGCAAAATGGTTTGAGCTTCTTAAATGAAAGCCACTGGAGAAGTATATAGTAGTATTCAAAGTGAAATATTACTTGAGAAATGGAGACCAAAGCTATGCTTACAGGAAAGTCAAAATAATAAAGTCAGGGTGCGCATACACCAGATAATTGCATTCACTGCTGAAATTTTACACGTCCTCACACAGCAAGAATGCATCGGAACCATCCTTACCTTTTATTGCAATGCAGATCGTAAATAGGAGTTTTGAACTGTATGGACTTGACCATCTCTCCTGTTCGCAAAGAATAAAGGTCCACACAGCAGTAAGGTGGGCTTGTGCTGAAACAAAGAAAAATACTTTAACGGGAAGAAGGATATTTTTGTTAGTTGTTTCAGGCTCCCTATGTGATTTAGCATGCTAAATGAAAAACCCAGCAATTCAGGCAGAATGCTGGAGAACAAAGGGTCAATTTAAGCCTTCTACATGAAGGCAAGGAATGATTAAAATTGAATTACGATATCCGCAACAGTCAAGAACCTCTATTGTGCAACTAATTATCAAGCACTTACTTTCCTTTGTCATAAATGAGACTTCACCAGCAAAATAGAAGTTATTTGATAGGCATGAAGTTTTAGACTATATTCTAGCTATTTGAAAAATATTCCACCGGGTAACACATTCCTGAAAGGAGTTCGTACTTCACTCTAAGCAACAGCTGAATCCTATGACTTGATTTGATAGAGACACTTTACACTGAATTTACATTACATCTCCGATGGACTTTTGTTTGAACTGAATAGATCTTTTCAACTGCTTTGTGTCACTTTTATCATTTTAATATAAATAGAACTCCAAGGCCCTTTCTTAATAAAAAGGCTTGCTTTCTTTTGAGAGGGGAGAAAGTGCTGAGTGTTCGATAGGGCCAAGGAAGGTAGTGGTGGAAACCATTTTACAAGCTGAGGAGAGGCTTTGATGTGGCAGTTCTTTTCCATAACACCTTTTTTCCCCTCCAAGAACGCATTAAAATGTTGGCTACTTCTAGGTCAAGGAATATGAAGGAGCACAAATTGCCAGCTGTACAAACACATACTAAGTATTGGTAAAAGAGGGTGTTTCCCCTTGCCCATATCTGTTTTATTTTACAGAGTTTAACACAATTCCTGACACAACACTTGCTTGTCTTCTGGATCTACTCAAGCTGCTCAAGAACTTTTTGGAGAAGTGGAGTATAAATGCCAAGTGTTTACCTCAAGTGCCTCAAGATAATAAAACCCTGCATACCGTAAGAGTGCAGTAGAGAAACAATATATGTACAGAGAGACAACCGAAAGAAATAATAGAATAAAAAAGTTTTGACATTTTGCCTACTGAAATTCTTCCCAAAATACACATTTTTCTAGGCACGTACCTAGCCTAATAACTAGAGGGTGCTATTTATTACTTTCAAGCACTTCAAAGGCTCTTCAAAAACACTTTTAGAACAGTGAGGCTCAAGTCTAGGTACTTGACATTAGAAGCTCATTGCTTCTAAAAATGCAGAAAATCACAGCAAGCTCTATGTACAAACTCTTTTTTTTTATTTAAGCACATTTATTGCCTAAGGGAAACTATTATTTTGATAAAACAGTGCACAGATTCTTATTTCAAAAGAGAAGTCAGAGAAGTTGATTCAGCTAAAATGATATTAACATAATTGATTCGAACAGTTCCATTTTGACTTGACATATAGCTAACTACAGGGCTACAACTCATGAGTATGCACCTTCTAATGCATATTGCACCAACAAAACTACGCGCAATAATCCTGTCACTCAAATAATTTTTATTACATCATACCTTTCTTTTGGCTGATCATGGTCCGACCATTGAGCCAATGCTTTTTTAAACCACCGCCAAAAAGCAGTAACTTGAGTTCAAGTGCTAATAAAGTTCTAGTACGGGCTAGGGCAGAGGGACTCTGAAAGTCTACCTCCAATTCAAAAGTCCTCTTTGCAAACATTCATTTCTTCTAATTCCATGGAAGCAAGAAAGGCAGTAGAAGCACGAGTTGAGCAATCAGAGGTGGGCAGGAGAGCTGCAGAAGCCAGACGCAGCTTGCCACCACGGGGCCGCAGCACAACACGGCTCTCTCGGCACTTAGGTCCTGGAGGAGCTCCACTGATCTACTCCCAATGTCCCGTCTTCTTCAAACAGGGAATTGGAGGCTTTCTACAGCCTGTGTTGCAGCCCCAATTGCAGTGTGCTCCTTACATCCCCAAAGATCTCGACTGAGTCCTGGACATAGCTTTGAAAAGCCAGACATCTCAACTCCTCATTATTTAAGAAGAATCTGAACACAAACCCGCCAAGAGCAAAAGCAGAGGGTGACTGTGCTTCCCTTCTTCCATACCATTCACACCACACACAGTATTTCCTCATTCTGCTATGTGGCCAAACAGCAGGAAGATTTACACCAAGCAAGATGCTGCGTTTAAATACCCAAAAAATTACTGTGTTCAGTAAGACAAAGGTGATTACTGAGAAAAATCCTGGCATCCTCTGCACAGTCTCTAAAAAATTTACTTGGGCACGATGCTTTATTCCTATTTTTCTTCACTGAATTATCAACCATCAAATACTAAAAATGGCACCACCTCTGAGAGTGGAAAATAACATTTAGTGCAATCAATATACTTAACTTCCAGCTACAAAACCAGCAGCATCCAAACTACCACAGAACCCCAGAACCACTACACACTGCAAGACAGAGCCCCACCAACTTGCAAAAGCATCTCTTGACAATCGGAAGGTCTCGAAACCTCAGAACTGTATGAAATGCAAATTTCTGCAACTTGCTCTATTTCAGGAATAACCACAAAGATTCGTTTCGTCAGAGGATCGTATGGACACTGTAAGTAAACGTGCCTGAAATACACCAGTCGATGGTCTGTGTGAACCAACTCCCAGCCTTCGGGAGAAAACAAAGCAAGGAGGCTTCTAGCCAAGAACCTTCTCTCCTGATACCCTGAAGGGCTTGAAGATCACGTCCACCTCGCTGAGAAGGGTTCCGATCACATTTCCGTGTACCAGCGACGATTACGTAAAGGGGAACGATTGAGACAGGAATGTGACAACGCTGGTTTTTGCAGTCTGGTAATTACATCAAGTCTGTCACAAACAAAATTCTTGCAAATTACTCCCACCTATTATTGACAAATTTTCATTGCTCATCCCTGACTGTCAGAACAGCTGCTTAATGAAGAGATATCAACCGATTCTTTCAAAGTAATGGACACAAATTTGCCAACGACTTCAAAATGATGACATTAATAAATACACAAATACGTCCAGACTCCTGTATCTTCTGTTCGACTCTAGCAGTGCACGGATAGAAGAAAAATAACAGATGCCTTGTACAGCTGGCACTTGACTACATCTGTGCTCACGCGTTGCCACATAACCAGCACCTCTTCGCAGATTTGCTAGCTATGAGTCACACGGGTTATAAAAGCTCTGTGTCAAATGTCTGCATACAGAGACAAACATACTGTACAAAGCACACACACTTGTTACACGGAAAAAAAAGAAGACTGACAGAACCAACACGAGGAGAATGTTCTCTGTGCCCAGAAAGATTTTACTCTGCCCGCGCAGAAGTGTTTACTTCCCTCCCTGCTGCCTCTCGCCGCTCTGCCACGTGATGAACAACATCCCACTCGAAGAGAGAATGGGCAGCGATGACAGAATGGGCTCACGAGCCCAGAAAGAAAGGAAAAATAAATAAATTTGCAAGGCTGACCACCAGGCCTTTATAAGGCTTTCTGTAGGTGAGGTATTTTCCCGTTCGTTACGGCAACTTTAAAAAAAAAAAAAAAATCACCTCCGGATGGAAGCTGCTTGGCCGACGTTGGGCATCACTTAAACCTGGAGAAGCTTCAAGCCTTCTAGTGCACATCATGCAGAGCAGTAAATTTAACAGCTGCCACCAAAACAGCTTCAAGCAGCATGGCGTGTACTACCGCCCATCAAAAGTAACTGGACTCATCATACAGTCATATAGTTAGGGCTAGTTTACATAAAGATAAACCAAGGACTCAAAAAAAAATAAATCTGGCAGTTATTCCATGACAATTTGTCTGTTATCTTTAAAGTTTTGTTTCTCAAGAAAAAAAGCTCTATTTTAATTTGAGTGTTTCAAAACTGGGTCAGGCGATGGTTTTATCTGCTTATTTTGAAGTACAATTTAGTTTTCAATATCATAACCTTTTGCTGTTTCTAAGAAAAATAATCACTAGCATACGTCTCTCACTGCATTGCATGTTCCCAGACTTAATTTTCATTCTGCTATGGCCACGCTAGTACCACACTTGATTATCCTAATGTATTCCTCTTGTGATGCTTTATTTGTTTGCATGCAATTTGCAACAAATGTTTTTTCATGCCTAGCACAAACAACATAGAAAATAGCCTTAATTTTCAATACTTCTGGCGCCTTCCGGAGGAGGTAAAAATATTAAAACATGCTGAGATCACACTCAAAACCCCTAACAGTACAATGATCTCTTACTAGGCCCAGCTTTAACAATCTATGGGACTTAAGTAAGTTTGGTGTTTCGGTACATATTAAGTTGTGGAGTGCCTTAAATGGAATTTAAGCTTCCAAACTTATTTCACAAAAGACAGTTGATTTCATTGTCAAGCCAGAAGGGACCATTACCTCACGCGGCCTTCCTGTCTAATGCAGGCCATTAAGTTTCACATAGATATCTGTTCTTAAACCTGGCTCAAATGCTTTAAATGCAATTTAACCCCAGCACTGCATACAGAGAACAGGAGTGAGAAAAGCAATAGGAAGTCCAAGGGACTTGCTGGACAAGGTATGTCCAAAGGCTCTGCTCAGCAAGCTACTCCAGAAAGATTTTTAAGAATTACTACTCTATAAAGCATCAGATCTAGCAGTGAGCTACTGATAAGAAAAAGCTATTTCCTTATAAGAATAAACAGGACCCTGATGGTGACACCAGTTTCCAAGCAGCAGTGGTTAAGATTATCCCGTAACCTGTTCTAACTGTGGCCAAGCTCTGACACTTCACGGAAGGGGAAGCAAAGGAACGTAAAACCAGAGTCCACAGCACAGAGTTAACAACTTGTGTCCCGAACCCTTCCACAGGAAAGCTGAAGCATACATTTAACTGTGATCTTTGTAGTAATATTACTAGAGCGTTGAGCCCAAAAGGCAATTCTGTTCTCCTCAAAAAAAATTAAAAGATTGCATTATTTATTCCTTAAAGAGTACTGCAGAAAAATCTTTCACTATCACCGCCTGGTCCCCTAAAAGTCCCTGGCTCTCTGCATGCCA